TACATACATACATACATACATACATACATACATACATACATACATACATACATATGCGAAATACCACTCATGCATCATTATAAAATCTCCAGAACCGTAAAGCCTATAAACTTTAAATTTGGCACGTATGTTCCTCTTGGCTTCTAGGTGCTCACTAAGAAAGGATTTTTCGAAATGACCATCAGAGCATTATTATTTTGTATATTATTATTAACATGCTCTGATACTAACGATTTCTACTCCCGCTCCCCACCTAAAAAGAAATCTGTTCCAAATGCAAAACACAACCAGAGTAGAGGAGTTTCAGTTTCAGTTTTAGTTTCACAGCACCAAGCAGCTTTAGTATAGAACAGCTGAGCTAAGCCATGCCCAGGCTCCTTGCTGTCTCCTTCTTGTTCACACAGCAAATACTATTCCAAACAGCCCTCAACTTTCTCTCACACTGACAGGACGCTAGCCAGATGAATACCGATGGATGCTGGTAAGCAGAGGAAGAATTTTCCCTCTTATTTTCCTCCCAAAAAACTAAGCCTGACCACATAGTTTTGTAGTGAAGCACGGGTATCGAGCTAGTATTTAATCTACCAAGATCCAATCTCTGTTGGCCACTGCAACATTATTCTGGGACATGTATATTCATCTTCATTTGTGATATTAAATTTATGTTATTGTTATTTTCAGTACAATTCTGTTGTAATATATTATTCTGGTATAGAGAAATTGTGTTTTGTTTAATAGAACATATAGATGCTACTATGATTTAATTTAGCTCCATCATCTTAAAAATATTGCATTAGTTTTCATTAGTCTTGCCATATCAGTGAGACATCAATAAGTAAAACTGTAAATAGCTTTATATTTGTTTCATTTGTTTATTATTTTATAGAATGAACATTTTACATTTATTTATTTTTGAAGAAAAAGTTTCTGAGCCTCATATAAAAACTATTATCTGACCAGACATAGTAAAAGAGGTTTTAATGAAAGCAACTTTTGGGAATAAACATGTGGCTTGGTTTCTGGCAGGAATATCTAGATGCAAGAAGTTCAATTAAGAAGTACAGAATCAAAGAATTAGTGATAAATATTTCTGACCTAGATTATGCTTTGATTAGTTTCTGATTTAGTCCGTTATGACTTCATTTTCTGTCAGTTACAAGTGCTTTTTTTTTTTTTTTGCTGTACTTTACAGATTTCAACATCATGTTCTCACTGCAAGTTTCTATGACTTCACACCAGTGGGCCTAATAGTGCAATAAAATTGATTTTCCTTCTTGATGCAATGTTAGTTCAGTGGTCAGGATCATCAACTCACTGAAGCAACCAAGAATAAAGGGATACTATAACTCGGCTTTAAGCCTCCTTCACTATTAACTATGCACAATTCAGTAATTATTTATCCTTAGTGGATTTTTTCACAGCACTCTTGGCTGAAAGTTGCACTTAAGGCCTTTCTTCTCCTATTATTAAAACTAAATGACTGGCGCTCTTGAAGTCATGAAGGTAGTCTACCACTTGCCATCACCTTTTTGTTACCTTTCACAAAATTGTTATCCTTTCACTTTTAAATGAAGTCTGTAAGTGGATGATGATGATGATGATTCACACAATCAGCCAGATGTTCAGACTAGATTTGGTATCTATATCCACCTATCAAGTCTTTTCCAAGCAAGGACTTGGGTTAAGCAGATGATGATGTTTTATGTTGTTATGTTCAAATTAGCAAATACATTTACAGTATTTAAGATGATCTCTCTATTGCATATTTTCCTTTACAGAGTAGCCTGATCATATTTATCACATCATTAATTATACCTTTTGCTAAGAAACCATGTAGATTTCTGGTTCATTTCTAGATATAATTCAAACTGCCTGCTGTGACTGAAAGTTCTAAGCTGCTTAGCGGTAAAGGTTCCCTTGCACATACGTACTAGTGGTTTCCAACTCTAGGGGGCGGTGCTCATCTCCATTACAAAGCTGAAAAGCCAGCGCTAACTGAAGACGTCTCCATTAGGGGTGGGATTCAAATTTTTTCACTACCGGTTCTGTGGGTGTGGCTTGGTGGGCGTGGCAGGGAAAGGATACTGTAAAATCTCCAGCCAGAGGTGGTATTTGCTAGCTCTCCGAACTACTCAAAATTTCCCCTACCATTCTCCAGAACTGGTCAGAACCTGCTGAATACCATGTCTGGTCTCCATGGTCATGTGGCCAGCATAACTAAATGCCAAAGGCGCACAGAACACTATTACCTTCCTACCAAAGTGGTTCCTATTTTTCTACTTGCATTTTACATGCTTTCGAACTGCTAGGTTGGCAGAAGCTGGGACAAGTAACGGCAACTCACTCTGTTACATGGTACTAGGGATTTGAATCGGTGAGTTAGTACCAAGTTATTTGGGTAAACATTTTAGACTAGCTGATCATTATCAGTCCTTCTTAGATAGGTGATGATGACAAAAGACAGAACTTTGGTGGTAGCACTATGTCTTTTTAATTTCCTTTCCAAAGAACTGATCTTGACCACAATGTTCCTTTTTCTACAATAGTTTTAAGAGCG